ATGATTAAAAGCTTAGAATTGGAAAGAGGGAAGAAGAGTCTTCACAGAATGTATTCTAAAAATTTTGCCCTTGGTAATATTCTTACAAGCCGTCTTTCAAGATTTTAGATACTGTGGGTCCCCATGTGGCATTTGGCTGTTCTTTAGGGGAGTTAATGTGGAGAAATGCAGTAGATACGTCTGTAATAATTTTAAGGTAACGAAAATATTTAATAATCACCAGTTGCCATCTACGTTTATTTTGTTAGCCCTGTCTATCAAATGTCACAGTAGCTGAAGTTGAGCAAAACAATGGTCTTCTATATTTCTTCAAGTGATTAATAACTCCTGGCCTGAAAATTCAATAATTGATTTGATGTTTGAGAGTTAATGATGATCAAGTATCAAAAGGCTTTGGTTTTATGGTTCAAAGTGGGAGTTTCCCAGTTATTAGCAGCTTTGAAGAGGCCAACTCCAGACGTAGCTCATTCTTCTCTTGCATGTTTTCCTACAGACTAGGTAGCTTACGTTGCTGTCTGTAAATAGGCTTCTTCATAGGAATCAGCCAGAAGAGGTCTTCTACCAACCTCCAGATTCAGTTTTTACAAGAATGAAAAAACTTCAGCATTTGCATGGATAAAGTTTTAAACAAGTTTACTGTAGACAGTAAAGAGTTCAGAGTTTACTGTTTTGGGTCATGCTGGGTCAGTGTGCCACTGCTGGTCACCATTTAGAAGTTTGTTTCTGTAATGGGGAACGGATAGTTGTGAAACCTTGCATTTTGAGGGATAAAATGCAAATCTCTACATCAGGAAGAATCAAACTTGAAGAAGCCTGGGAAAAAAAATAAAAAAGGAAAAAAAGCAAAAAGAAATCTAAGCATCTAATAGTTTGAGAAGGGCAGGTATGTTCAGGCTACCTTGTCAGATATTAGGATGAGAATACGCTGGCTTGGCAGCTTCCCCCTTCTTAATAGCCAGCTGGATTACAGCAGCAGTCCATCCAAGGAAGTAATTCTTACAACCAGATATCTAGCTTCTCTGCCAGCTCACATTTAGTTTTGAAAGCAATTAGCTGGAAGGAACTTGATTGCATCCAGCCAGTAATTTCCTTTGGACTCAGAGATAATAACAGAAACAGAACCAGAAATAGTCCTCTGATGCTATACGCAATGTAATTTAATGCAATTCTTCTAGCCTTCATCTATATGAATATTAGGCAAATGAGTTTAAAACTTTTTTTTCTTTTTCCTTTTTTTTTTTAAATCACAAAGCTACTGTGGCCCCCCAAAGTGATCCTTGGTCTGATTATAGTGTATATGTTTTTACTGGAGGTTGCACAGATTTTCGTTATAGCTGCAGCATTTATATTGTAATTAAGGCTATGTCAGTGTTTCTAGTATGACCGTGCTTCAACAAATTACGCCAGGCTGAAACTTGATGTACGGGAGCAAAATTCACTCTTTGCAATGCACAGGAAGTTAGCTGTGTTTCTCTGTGTGGCAGTAGCACACTCGCCACTCTTTTTTCTTTCTCATTGTGTTGAGTATTTTTCTTGTAAATCTCAGTTTGGGTGCAACTCATTTTAAAATTGTCAATAATGTAAAGAAGAACAAGTACAGAAACAGTTTTTCCTATGTGAGTCCTAGAAAAAAAACAGTAAACGTAAATACTTAGCTGCACTAAGAGGCCAAAGTAAAGGAATTCATAAAATAATGTTGGAGGTGGAGGGGAGAGACATCAGAGAGGAAGCTTCCCAATGAACATAAAAATTCTTGTCCTATGCTGCTTTCTTCCTCAGGTTGTACCTGCCAGCAAGATGACTTTTCGATTTAGAAGTCTATGTGGTCCATCTAGCTTTTCCTTCCCCATCATCAGCTTGATAGCGGAGTCATATGAGCATATAGCTATTTACAGTGCACTTCTATTACTATGGCTGGTGTCTAGTACAAAAAGAGGTTGTTTTCTTTCAAACTGTCTCTTCCCCACAAATAGAAAAAATGAATGCTTCCCACCCTCTTCATGAAATTGTTCTCCCAAGGGAGAAATGCTTCTCACCTTTTGCTCCTCCTCCAAAACCCAAGAAAACTATGTTCGTTCGAGCTATTCCTGCCTGATAAAAAGGAAAGGGGAAGGTGCTTGGGAGGATAGAACCTTTTTCAACAGACAGTGCTCGTCACTAGAGTTCTGGGGTAAATCTAATGCTGCTCCTCAGGTTTGATAAGGTTAGGTACCTTGATTGACTGGCCCTTTACACCGCTTTTGTCAGTGAAGAGTCCTCCAGGGTCATCCTCCAGGGGGTGATTCAGAACATCATTGCTGGAACCTCAAGGCAAATAACCTAACACCTTTGCTTCTCCTTTTGCTTAGAATTTGTACATTTTATATGTCATCAGAAGGGAAGGGTAATTGAAAAAATGGCTGATAATTCTACGTTTTGTACAAAAAATATACTGACAATTATTTCCCCAATTAAGAGTATTTCCTTCTGCTTTTTAAGATTTTTTAAAAAATATTTTAAAAGCAGATTATATTTCTGATCTAAAATTGTGGAAATAATTAAAGGTTATTGTCTGTATTTTTCCTTCCCACTCTGTCAGTGTATCTGCAGGACAGAGGGTCAGTAGAAAACTGATGAAGCCAGCAGGAGATTTGAAGCTAATGTGATGTTATGCTCCTAATATCCTCTTCCTAATCGTGTACTTAGGAAAATGAGTTAAGCACAAGAAAATATATGCACAAAGGTACATATGTTTTACTTATATTTGACTAAGACCAGTTTCCTTAGTTATTTATTTACATAGTGTTAAAAAAAAAACCCTTTCCAATAAAAAAATTGATTTGTTTATCACTTAAGGAGAACAAACAGCGGGAGGTTAATACACAATCAGATAAGTTTACAAAGCCATTCTGCAATTAGAGATGCTTAGGTTTGAATGTGCCCTCTTCCCCCTCCTCCCTGCACCTCTGGTAAATATATCCGTACTTGCAACTTGTTGCAATTTAATATTGTGGCTATGATGAAGAAAAAAAAAGATTCACAGATGAGTTATGCTAGCTATAATGCCTAGCCATTGCTTTGTTAGTTATATCTCCATGAAGTAAAGCAACTGTTAAAATATTTGCTTCATTTGTAGACTGAGGTGTGGTCCCATCTCTTAAATGATTTACATTATTTACAACAGCATTTTTCTGTGCAGTGAAGTAAGAGGTTGAATTCTGGTTTGAAATGGAAACAACAATTAGAAAAAACAGTAGTACATTAGGCCACTTACATGCATTCTTACTCCTTTGAGGATCTGGCTTGTCAGCAAAGTGTAATGTTCTTGAATATAGTGACTGCTTTAAAAAAAAAGCCAAAAAGAATGTAAAACCCACCACCTAATCAAAGATCTGAAAATGGAAAATTTAATTGAATGGAACTTCGAACAAATTCACATGATCTCCATGCTGCCCGCTGGACAATAATACCCACTGTAACAATTTTTCTTTCATAGCTTCTTATTTGTGTTCTCTTTCTTTAATTTCTTCATATGTACAACATCAAGCAAACTACCATCTCTGGGAATGTAGGATGTAAAATATAAGTGGGAATGTCAGCAAAACCTGCTATGTTCCCGCTATTTTATTTCCTAGCTGACAGAACAGTTTGCACAGTTTTATTTAGTTATAATTCAAATAAACCATTACAAAATAGTTTTCCAGAGCTCATCAAGTAGCCAAAAGTAAATAAAGAAAATTAATAAAAATAGACATAAAAATACTAGGATCTTTAAATGGGATTTGCAGTTATCAGTGAAGCTGTACTCATAGCTAACACTCTTCTTCTCCTCCTTCCTCTTTGTTAGAGGCTTTCCGTGCAATAATTGTTCTGATGATGTAATAGTTCTTGGATATGAAAACACTCTCATTACTGAATGAAAGCCGACTAGCTTCAAACGTAGAAGCGTACATAAACAGGATTCCATGAGTATATGAATATATGATTAAAGACAAAAAGACCTACTACATCTTCATATTAACCTTCAGCATTATAGATCAACAGTGTTTCCTGCCAAGCCACAGTACCATTCTGTTAGTGCTTGATATAATATTTAGCATTGTTTCGGGATGTGTGATCATGTGATTCCTACTTTCTACATGGCAACCAATGCAGAAACAATCTGTCAAGGACTGTCATTGAGGATCAATGCTAAATGTTACTCAGCAGGATGCAGACTGTATCTCGGTGGGTGTCCTCCTACTATGCTTTGATTATGTTTGTTGTAAAGAAAAGCCTAGTTGTGCTTACAGCATTTGTATTTCACCCCCTCTGTGGAAGACATATTACAGCCTCTTGATTTGTCCCTGTTTCAACAAGATGTGTTGTTTAAAAACATGTACACAGCATTTTCAAAGATTCCTTCAGTATAATCTGATTATAAAGGGGTTATGTGACAGTTTGTCTCTGCTGCTTATTGTGTGGCTTAAATCTCTGAGGACAAGCTGACTGAACATCCATACAATTTAGAGTCTGATGGCAGCTGTGGTTCAAAAATGTTGTTTTGGGCCAGATCTAGGGTCATCTGAGGAGGCACTTTGGCGTACATCAAGGTAACAGAAGGATTTTATACTACTTATTGCTTCTTATAACTTTGTTAGATGACAATACTATAGGTTGGATACATGGGGGGAAGATTTAATTAAACAGAGTGGTAGTTGATTAACTTAGAGCAAGAAGGGAAGGGAAAAGAGGGAGAATTTTTTTATACTTCACTGTGTGAATGGGGAGATAAATCTTCATCTCTGAGCATTGCTAAATAGATAGGCTTATATATTGTGAAAGAGAAAACTTATTACACTGGACAGCAAGCTGACCTATTGCTTTTATAAAAGGATATTTCAAGCAAAAATATGTATTTCAGAGAGTGTCTGTGTTTTCTGCATGACAAAAACACTCACCCATGACATCCCATTGCCTCTTAATGTTTGCTGTCCTCGATACAGTTTTATAACGCTGGTGCTCTACTAACAAACTTCCAGGCATGAACGTATACATACTAGAAGACCTTACCATGTGGATGGAGCTGACAAGTACTCTCTAGATGACGATCTGGTAAATCTAGAAGTTCTAGATGAGGTACTGTGCTGTCTGAGTAGCAATTTCTGACAATTGTGTCTCACATTTTGCCTGTTTCTGCTTTTTAGGCTTCTTTTAACAGAATGAGAAGAGTTCCTTCTTGCAAGCTTTTGTCTCACCATGGCAAAGGAGTTGTCACATGACTGATCTGCTATCATCACTTTGTTAATATTCTATAGACTGACATGAAAGCAGTAGCAGTGAATCCTATTATGTGGAAGAATTTAATTATGAGTGATGCTAGTTTAAATTATTTCGTGAGTTTCCTAAAATGTGAAGTTTAGTCTTGAAGATCTAGATTTAAGTGATTTTTCCTAAAATTGATGAATTTATATAGAGTAATATGGTATCTACAGCTTCTGGATAAAAAGTGATAAAACAATATCAGTTGCAGATTTCACTATATCACCTATATGCAGACTATCTGTAAATTTTTCTTTTGATGATCCTTAAATTGCACACCAGCAAGAAAAAGACATAATACTAAATTGTGCTAGTGTCCTGTTTAAAACGGTCTCTTACTACCACTTAAAATTTAATCCTTGAAAAATTATTATCCTTGTTTCATGGTCAAATAAAAAATGAAATGGAAATGTACTATGAAGTGCAGCAGTAATGTGCATGGCCATTTTCTCTTCAGAAGGTTTGCTTCTCAGGCTGGTATAACAAAGTATGTACTAATCTGGAAATAGGAGTTGCCATTTAACTTCATTTTACGGCATTAGCGAGAATTTTGACAATATTTGTTTGGTTTTGTGGTGTTGGCATTTGAAAAATAATTAGTAACACTTAGAATAAGTATTTCTTAATTAGTATTCTCAGTATATTTACAAAAATCTTCCTAACTGGGAAAATACTGTTTAACTATCAAACTTTTTGTAATCTTCTCAGGATACAATTATCCATCAGCTGCAGAAACGCTACGCTGACTTACAAATTTATACTTATGTTGGAGACATTTTAATAGCCTTAAACCCCTTCCAGAATCTCAGCATTTATTCTCCCCAGGTAAGAGAGATTCCAAGCTGTGGACAGTACTTACTTTACATTTTATATTAATATCACTAGCGAAAATACTTAAATGATGTTGGAAGCTAGGAGCACAGACTAAACCCCAGCCTTTTCTTCTTCCAGAAAAGTGTAGCTACAAATCTTTTTTTTCTTTTTTTTTTTTTTAAGTTCAGTCTCATTTGATTTCATTCCTTTCTGCTTGGTGGCACAAATTCCACAGGAGGGATGAAGATTACCCCAGCCACAGCTGTGCCTCTTGTCTGGCGTTCAGGGCTTTCTTCTGGGAAACAGAAGATGGTTATATGAACCTCCTCATGCTGAGGCTGTCGCTTCCTGAAGAATTGCTCTGACTATTGGGTTATTACATGTCCTGTGCCATCAGCTGCTGCTTGAAAGGAAGAAGTGAATCAAATGCTGTAAAGATAGAGGCAGCTCAATTCTCTATAAATATGAAGAGAGTTGGAGCCATAAATCTTAGTCCCCATGGGTGCCTAAATCGGGGTTGCAGGTAGAGGGGCCAGATTTCAGATTCACGGTTATCTTTGAAGTTTCTTTTGTGTAGGTTGGGTATTTCCTTGGTTGAATGCCTGTGTTTGAAATTCTGTTCTTGTGATACAGTTCTCTTCACTGTCTTGTCTGGGAAATGTCAGAGTGCGTTTTAGGTGTTGTAATTTGTATTCTGGAAGTTGGGCAGTGCCAAGAATTACCACTCTTCCAGGTGATGCAGGGGAAATTCTGTGGTAAAACAGGCAACTACATTCTGTTGAACAGGTGGAAGATAGTCACTATCCTCTTTTCAGTTCTTAATTATGTAGCAAAGTTCCGTATTTTGACTATGGTGTGTTCTTTTTAAAATTTAGTTCTCTAAGCTTTACCATGGTGTGAAGCGTTCATCAAATCCCCCCCACATATTTGCCTCTGCGGATGCTGCCTACCAAAGTATGGTTACATTCAGCAAAGATCAGGTAAGAATCTGTTTATTTTGTTTTAGATTTCATATTAATCATACTGCCACTATGCTACATGGCTATGGCTAATGTTCTGTTATGTTGTACTTTGGGAAATTTTTTTCTTTAAGCCTTTTATTCCTGCATCAGCAAAAACAGAGTAGAAATCTAGTCAGATTTGGGAATTCTAAAGAGGACACAGTGGCTTAAAAGAGACTAAAAGGTCAAATAAAGATGATAGGGTTACCTGACCAATATAGTTTCCTGGAAACCCATGGAGTCCTGGCAGTTGACACCAGTTGCAGAGTGTTGCTGCACACTCTGATTCTAGCCTGTCTTGCACTAGGTATTGTAATAATTTACACCTGTATAAAATAGGAGGGTCTCAATGCCTTAGCAGATTAACAGTTTGAACCACTTTGCTGTTGCATAAAGACACTATCAAGCAATGGATAATCAATTCCTTTAACTACAAGTCACAAAAAATAGGAACCATTAACTATTTTTTTAGTAAAATATATTAAGGATAGGTGTAATATAAATGCAATAAAGGCACAAATCCAATTGTATAGCAATGATTTTAATGAGAATGAAATACCATGCCGTAGAAGCTAAATTTCTTTTTATTATATTCTTAAGATGGTAACTTTGTACTCCTTCTAATTTATGTCCTGTATGCATATGAATATTGAGGGCTAATAATTATTTTTATTTATAAAATCCTCCTGATTTTACCCTGCACATCACACAATAATTCATAGAAAATGCTTTTTTAAAATCACAAAAGCAGACTAAAATAATAAAAAACCTGCAATCAGAAAATAGCAAGCAAAGAAGACAAATAAAAAGGACATTGAAGATGAAGAAAAAAAGGTGTTCTGCTGAGTATGTGGAAGTACAGTGGCCTGAGAGATGTCTAGTATTTCTTTAATGGCTTATATGCTCTTCGATGGAGATATTAAAGAAAATAAGTACTCATGCAGAATAAGTTATGTGAGAACTTGTTATCTGGGGAAAAAAATTACTTTTGACATGAGCCCATCAGGCTAACTTTGTACATCTTTAATGTTATATGTTTCATACCCATTTAAGAAGTAAAGAAGTAATTGCATTTAGATCTAAATCAGTTTCCTATTTTCTGTTTGCAAAGGATTACAGGAGCATGTTTATCTCCATTACCTGGCCAATATTATGTTGGTTCTTCAGGTAAAGGTGCATTAGATAAACACTGTAGCCAGATCAAAAATGTATTGATTCTGTTTGATTTATCCATTGAGCTTTCCCTTGTATTTTACTGTGAACCCTGAAAATTGACTCCACATCTAACATTTCTCCTGAAGCTAAAGTCAAGTTCTGGCCAATTCTACAAGAGTTTTATGAGTTCTACAAGAACTCATGGGCTTTAACTGTATCAACTGTTGTACATTACTTTTGTAGTCGCACAAAGACAATTAAATTACGTATCGTAACCCTGTAAATCCATCATTAGGTTATCTGTTTCCAAGAACAAAAATACCCAAGAAGAAGCAAATAAATGAGCTGCAAATGGCATATTGCACACATTATTTAGAGTCAATCCCTGCACTGGCTGTCAGATACCACAAGACACCGCCAGAGAACTGCTACATCTTTCAGACCTTTTCACAAAGCTCAGTTCTATATGAAGTGTCATTGCATCAAGTATTTTAGGACCTGGTGTCTTCTCACAGCCAAGAATCTTGTATGTTCACAGTGTGGTGCAAATAATTTTCAGGTGTTTGCATAAAAAGACACGAATCTATGCAACTGCTCAGTGTTAACATTTTAATTATATCTCAGTTGATACTGTACCTTAAGTAGGCTAATATTTGTACTGGTGATCTGTAGAACACATGAAAAATGGGGAAATAATAAATACTGTTAGAATTCTTGCTTGCTATGATCTGAAGTGTTGATGCTTCAGTGTTCAGGTGTGAACTGGCCTTTGAGGTGTACTGGCCTTCTACTTCCATCTCATCCATGAAGCGTAACAGCAGAGAGGAGGGTACCAAGTGATTTGGACCATTCTAGCTAATCCCTGATTCTGGAAGCCATTTGGAGAGCCTATAAAATACCATGTGTTAAGGACTGCTGACTCAGGAGGAAGATGGATATGTTCTCCCAGAGTTATCCAATGAACAGATTCATATTTTTCTGAAATGTTTAGATGCTAGTTTCCTGTTGTAGCTTGAATATCAGCGTCACCTACAGAATAACCTCTCTACACAGCAGCAAGTATTTAACATTATTTGTAAATCCAGGAGCAGACTTTCTGTCAGAGTATTGAATGCAGCTGTACCCTGTGTTTCATGTTAATTCATATGAAGTCAATGCAGAGATCTCAGATGCACTGTTGAATTATGTCACATCAACTGAGCTGTGTCAATTTTCTGAGTTTTAAGCATTTGAAACAAGCCTCGTGCATAGCGTGCTTTAGCCTGTAGACATGGTCACTCATTTCTATGTCTTACCCCTTAGAAATTCAATTACTGCTTCACACATATGCACATTGCTATCAGGCATTGCAAGATGCATTTTAGTAATCTAGGGAATAAATTATTACACTGAGCCTTTGCTGATCTTTCCTTTCAGAAGGGCGTTGAGGGAGTTGACCTTTAAAGTATTTTGTAGTATTTTGGTACTAAACATTAAATAACAACTAGGAGGAGTAATAGCTGAAATCGACCATGTTGTGAGCTGTGCACTTAACTGTTTTGTTTTGTGTGTTCAGTGCATTATCATCAGTGGGGAAAGTGGTGCTGGGAAGACAGAAAGTGCCCATCTGATCGTCCAACATTTGACCTTCTTGGGAAAGGTATTTCTTAGCCAATCATGTAAAACTATGAACAAATCCTCCCAACCTCACCCCCAATTTCCACTTTATTTAATCGTTAATGCTTACTGTTGTAAGCTGTTCATGTGAATGTCCCACTTGAGTTAGGGGCGGAGTAATCAGGCATGTGAGAGTATTGAATTAAGATACTGGAGTATGACCCACACCAAGCCATTGAATATTTTTAAAGAGAAGGTGCCAGATCCCGAGCATACAGTGCCTGTAGTTATCTACAGTGTTTATCACATATACTGTTGTTCATTTATACAATAAAGAATGTCAGATCTTGCTATGGCTCTAATCTTAGAAGCTCTTACACATTTAAATGTTATGAGTAATGCTGTTAGTGCAGAATGATGGGAAAATCAAGTGTGTAAGGTTAACCTTAAGTAGATGTGTTTAGTTTTTGATGGTTTTGGTACTCTAACTAATTATATGACACCTCAGAGGCAGAACAATTGCAAAGAAAGAAGAATCTGGTTTTTCCTACCTGTGGGAGAGTTTCTCATCAATTTGTTGGCTCTGTTGTTGTATAAGTAGAAAGGTTAACACAGTATCTAAGACCATACATGCATGAGAAAGGGATGCTGTGCTTCTGAAGCAAGAATTGGATTGTGGGTAAGCAATATATTCTTTTAATGATCCTGCTGATCTGTATCTGTTCTGTCAAGGCCAATAACCGTGCTTTGCGTGAGAAAATTCTTCAGGTGAATCCTCTGGTTGAAGCATTTGGGAATGCCTGCACTGCCATCAATGACAACTCAAGTCGCTTTGGAAAATATCTGGAAATGATGTTTACACCCACGGGAGCTGTAATGGGGGCAAAGATTTCTGAATATCTACTTGAAAAATCAAGGGTCATAAAACAGGCTGTGTAGGTATATTAATTGTCTGCCCTTTCACGTTTATATAATGTTTGGATTCTGTTTAATTCTCAAAAATTCCTTATTTTAAATGCTTTCGTGTCTTCTGCTAAAGCAGTGATCCTTTCTACAGTGCTATGACAACAAGAATAGTCAGTTAGGTTCTTTTGGAGTGGAAGCCAGAGCTGCTCCATTCTTTGGAGAAATATTGTGGTTGGCTGGGTTTTCTGTGTTTCACAGTTGCTGATTCTACACCATTAAAACAAGTGGGAGATTTGTTACCTAGTTCAGTGAGCTCACGGTAAGAACTTCTACTTTTACATTGTACAAGATGCCACAAGAATAAACACATGTGCTTTAAAAGGATGCTTTTTTTTTTTTTTTCCCAGGGGAGAGAAAAATTTCCATATATTTTATTACATATATGCTGGCCTTTATCATCAGAAGAAACTTTCTGAATATAGACTTCCTGATAAAAAGCCTCCTAGGTAACTATCACTCACTTGTTTTAACTGCTTGTTGTAATTAGCTATTGATCAGCTGTTGCTTTCAGTATGATGCCTTAAAATCTCTCTTAATCCTTCTCCATCCCTTAAGGATCTTTTTTAATCCTCCCAAGCAAAGAAGAGGATGGACAATAAGGCATTACCTTATTTCTATTTGTTTGAGAACCTGAACTATTTGAAGAGGAGGAGGAATAATCAAGCTTATTGTTACGTAGATATTCTGTCATACTTTCAAATCAAGACAATCACCTTATGATTTTTTTACTGTAGTGCTTCAGTAAGAACCCAGAATATGCTTTGGAGTTGTGTTTTTTAATTGGTATTTGTACTTTGGGAGCATCTGATCTGTATTGGGTGAGGGGATATATGTGAAATGTTGGTAACACTATAATAGATATTAACAAAGAATAAGCAAAAGTTAGTGCAAAAGAAACAAAAACTTCTTATGAATTAGCACCAAAGTATATAATTGGAAGATAAATATTCTTTCCAGTTACTGTAGTACTTGCATTGAAGTCACTGTAGGTTGTAGTGGCATATCTGCTACTATGGTGCCTTCTTTCTCCCACTCTATTTAGATATATTGATAATGAAACTGGAAGAGTAATGCATGATATTGTTACTAAAGATTCCTACGGAAGACAATTTGAAGCAATTCAGCATTGCTTTAGAATTATAGGATTCACTGATGAGGTAAGAGATCCAGTTCCTAAACCATTATTGGCCTTCTTTATAAAAAACACCTCCAGTGCTGCCTGCACACAGGCTGCCATTTGGTTTTGTGGATACACACCTGTGCCATAGAATCTCTCTTACGACAGAAGTGAACTGTGAAAGCATAACCACACACTCGGAAGCCAAGACCCGCCTGAGGTCTCAGCTGGTACTCAGGCAAGTTCATTCATAATTCTATATCACGCTGTTTTCTGTGTCAATAGGAGCTTACTTGAATTTGTAGAACTTGGTCTCAGAGCAAGCTACAAGCTTTAATAGCCATTCCAGTGCCCACCTTTTTCTTTCATAGCCTAAATATGATCTATGTATCTAATTGGATTCCTTAAAAGTGCTGCTTGTCATCTTTTACAGGAAGTGTACTCAGTGTACAGAATTCTGACTGGAATCTTAAATACTGGAAATATTGAGTTTGCTGCCATTTCTTCACAACACCAAACAGATAAAAGTGAGGTTCCCAACCCAGAAGCCTTAGATAATGGTAAATACATTTTAACATTGTCAGTTCTGTAAATGCAATTTGACTGTATTTGTGAGAATCTCTAACTCGTGGTAACAGTTGGGCAATGCTGGTGATTTCCACTGCATAATCACAGTCACGTTATGTTTTTTCCACTGTCTTTTAGCTGCTGCACTACTAAGTATTGGGTCAGAAGAACTTCAAGAGGCCCTAACCTCCCACTGTGTTGTAACACGAGGGGAGACTATTATTCGAACAAACACTGTGGACAAAGCAGCTGACGTGCGAGATGCCATGTCTAAAGCACTTTATGGCCGACTCTTCAGCTGGATCGTAAATCGTATTAATACGCTGCTTCAGCCAGATAAAAATATATGGCAAGTTACACATCATTGAATCATGTGTATTTACCGTGCATGTATCTTTGATGGGTTCACCCATTTGTATATTTTTGATTTTGCAGAAAGGGTGCTGTGTTTATTTTGGCTAAGGCTTCAAAATGGTTTTCATGCTGTGATACTGAATTCTGTTTCCAGGACATTAACCCCAACGTTTTCAAAGAGCTGAGTGGAATTTAGCTACTGAAGTCAATGGAAATTGGGTGGTTAAAGTGCTGTACGATTCGTTAAAAAGGTGCTTCCTATGTAGTGAACATTAAAATCTTACCAAAGGCTGGTAAATAATTGGAGTAGACTGAAAAACTTTAGTATGTATTCACAGTCCTCACAGTCCTTCTGCTTTTGTAAGCTAGTAGTAAATACAGATCTCGGATTATTATTGTGCTGCTACTTGAGATTAAGTGATGATTTTTTTATTTTTTGTAATTACAGAGACGTTCATATTATGCATCCTTATGATTTCATTGCGAGGTACTGACCTGGCTGCTTTGGTCTTTTCAAGCAGCTGCAGAGATTTTGAGAAACAAGAGAACCTCTTAGGTAGTGTGAAAATGCCTCTGATCGGAGATCTCTGTTTGGCACTTCACTGTATCATATAGACATGTCCCCATCCATACGTGCAGTTCTAGTGGTGACTGTGGTATGAGTATACTTGAGCTTGCACACGGGCTCTTAATAGTCCAGCTTGGAGCAGCAGCAGACTTGGTAATTGCCCTTCTGGCAGCATATAGCAAAAACATACTGTTAAAGCTTGACACCTTTTGTCTACCTAGAGGAGCAGAGAATAGATTTTATTTGGGATCTGCCTATTGAAACCATTTGTTTTAATATGGCTGCTAAGTGTTTGTTACTATGTACCTATGATTCTTGTGCCTTCTTCGTGGAAATTTGCAAGCAAGTGGAAAACAAAAGTGTTAATGGTGCTGAACAAATGCACAAGTTGTCTTCGGTTCAAACACGCTTTTTCTCCTCTTTTTTTGCAGCAAATTGAATCAATTATGCAACCTTAGTTACCATGTTTCTTTTTATTTTAACTTGATGTTGCCCATGATGAATTTGATGACTTTTGTTTGTATTTTCACGTGCAGCAATGCTGAAAATGGGATGAATGTTGGGATACTAGACATATTTGGATTTGAGAACTTCGCAAGAAATTCCTTTGAACAGCTGTGCATAAATATTGCTAATGAACAGATCCAGTTTTATTTCAATCAACATATCTTTGCACTTGAGCAGGTAAATTCAACTCTGATGAGATCTAGTTGAATCAGCCATCCTGAACCATAGATCATATTCAGGAGTACATTATAAACTATAAAATGAGTATGTGATTTAAAGGCAAGATAATGACATCTTTCAGTTGAAGTTTGGTAAATAATGTTGTTGGGGCCTATAGGGTATTGCTGTGCATCCTAAATGTCCTAATGATGATGTTGCTTTTACTGGTTCAATATTAAAACTGTGCTGGTGACTTTGTAGATGGAGTATCAGAGTGAGGGAATTGACGCTACTACAGTGGAGTATGAGGACAATCGTCCACTTCTAGATATGTTCCTTCAGAAACCCATGGGTCTCCTGTCTCTACTAGATGAAGAAAGTAGATTTCCTCAGGCAACAGACCTAACTTTGGTTGGTATGTGCGAACAAAAATTCTGGGAAGTAACAAATATATTTTGAGAGGGCAGAATGACATCTTTACTCAAGTTTTACTAGCCTAGTTGCCCTGCTGATGCTGTGCCATTTAATTTGACATTTTAAGGATATTTTTCATTGTATATATTTTCATTTCTGTGCTTACATGTTTTCTGTTCTTTTTATATTGTAAAAGTTATCTTACATATCAGGTGTCAAGGGCTTATTGTCTTTGCAGTGTTACAAGGAAATAACCTGTTTCTCGTCTCTGTATGTGATTTACATCAAGCAGCATTTATCCCCATCTACTGAAGGGAAGGCTGAGACATAGTACAATCTTGTGTCTAGGACCACCCTGTGAGCAGCATTAGTGTTGAGAGTAGAATTTAGATCTCCCAGGCTCCTAGGCCCATGTTTATCCAATTAGAAAATACTGCTTCGCTCCAGATTATCTCATCATAAATAGAAAGTGTGTGTTATTTCTGGTGTGCCATCTGGCTGACTATTTTCCTTCCTTCATGCATATTTTATGTATATTTTAACAAATCTTGGTGCCAACTTTAAAATGTGCAGCACATGCCATGTTTAAAACTGTTGTCTTGCTTTTATTTACTAGAGCTACATTTTTACCTGCGATATGAAAGAGAGTTCCAGTTCCTTCAATGGAATGTGCAGCAGAGACTCAAACTGTTAGTCAGAGAAAAATAACAGCTGCCTGTTAAATTACACGATATACGTATAAGATTTTTCACTTCTGCTAGGCTGAGTTGAAACTTGAATTTAGGTCACAGATAGAATGATTGCTATGGTTCCATTCCAGTCCTCATTTGTGTACTAAAGCTGTGTGCCTCCTTGTGGGTCCTATAAATCAGTTAATACTGAATATTGAACTTACACTTTCACAGAAGCACTTTCCTTGGTCCAGTGCCGATCAGTCTTACTGCTGATCTGTACACAGTACAGCAGGATCCCTCAAGGGGACAGCAAAGTGGGATATTTTGCCCTCTCCAGATATGCCAGAAAATCATTAATTCCACCACCTTCCTCCCTGCCTCCCTGAAATTCCAAACTGAGTTCTTTTTGCTTTAAATACAAGCTTGATTAAACGTTACTAGAAAGAAAGACCTAACACAAAATATTAATGGATTCGAACATCAGAAAAAACATTTTGATAACATTTTCTGACCTACACAACATGACAGAGAATTTTATCAATTGATTCTGGCCTCAGGTCTCTAGTTGCTTGTTCAGATAAAGAAATATAATAGCAAGTTTTACAGTATCAGCACTAATTTCATTACAAAATATTAAAGAGTATACAAAATATCGCAGGGCATAGAAGACATTTTTCTTAGACAGTGATGTTCCTTTTTCTGTAAGCTCTTTAGAGGTGGTCATGGGAAACAGAAAGCCTCTTTAGAAGAGGTTTTAGATAGAAGCCTCTTTTTCTGTAGAAGTCCAAAGGTAAATGAGAGATGGTCCCTGCCTGAAGATGTGAACATATACTTAAAACATGATGCACAAAGCTAAATGAATGGGGAAAGGAAGATAGGAAAAATACAAATAATAGGCGTTTAAGCAAGCGAGACATACGCATAGCTTTGAAGGTACCTAGTGGAAATAAACCCACCCCAAACCCTATATATACATAGAAGCAAATTCATAGCAAATACGAGCAGTCATCACATCTTCTCATTGGCCCCTCTTATTTAATAGTTGTCCGTGCACAAAACTATCCACAAACAGTGGGGTTTGAAAGACAGTCTTACTGGGCTAGTTTAGAATAAGCTGTTCCATTCACAAGTGGCAGCTTGGAAGAAAGCACAGAGAAGCTGGCACAGTTATTTCTGAGCAATCTGATAATACATGTGTTTATAGTAGTTCTGGCTTCTTGAGCAGCAAACTGTCCGTAATTAGGATGAAGATTTTACTTATTCACTCTAAGTCACTTATATCAATGTCTCTTCTCAATGTCTAGATAAATTTGAAGATAACTTACGATGCAAATATTTTTGGAGACCAAAAGGAGTAGAACTGTCATTTGGTATTCAGCACTATGCTGGAAAGGTAAGGTCATGTGATTTTTATTTAGATCAAATAACAGTGGTATGGTCATTATTTGTTTTATCCAAAGTTTCTGCCTTATGATTTTTTTTCCTCATTTTAAGAGACAAAATGATAAAGTTTACAGAAACCTAGAATCTACGATAAAATTTTCATGTGTAGTAGTCTATTTTAGAACCTATCCTTAGAGCTCTTGCACAAATTGTGTAGACAGTAACCACCTTTTATTCTGAAAGAAATCTGGCACCAGAAACACCATTACTACAATCATTTCAAAGGAGCAACTCTCCAGAGCCAGAATAGGCTGTGCGATTGTTAACATCGTGTGAATGCCACAGTAGTTCTGTGTGTGAGTGTATGTAAGTATACGAATAAAATGCAATGTAAAACAGCGCCTGTAACAGAAGTTAAAATCCTGTAGAGAGCATTGGAAAGACTGGAGCTAGCTAGCACAGATGTTTTCTTGTGCTCTGTAGTACCTAACTTCTTTTGTTCTCAGCGGTTCACATATTATTTTATATGGGAAATAACAGTCCAGTTGTTTCACATAACGTGAGCTTTGCTTGTGATTTCAGGTCCAAATCTTTGTTTATAACCAGAATCAAAATGAAATAGCCATGTAGTTATCAATGATGCATCATCTCTGGCTCATTATAAGACTCCAATATTTTAAGATATCTTCTAGTAAACTTTGTCCGGTTTTCTGGCTTGTTAAGAATAACTGTAAAATTTCACACAGGTTTAGTAAATTCTTTGTATCCAAAAGGCCAAGTCATAAAAACACTACTGGCCAGTTCTCTATTGCAGGAGAACATTCACTTTGTGTGTCAACTAATGGACTCCAGTGGAATTAGGCTAGAGATGAATATTGCTAGTGAAAATAAAACAGGTCTAAAAAATTACTGCAATTTAAAAATAAATAAATAAAAAGTTAAGCAAAATTAACGGATTCTTATACAAATAGGCAGGCATTAATTTCTAATAAAAACAATTAAAATTGAATAGATTAATGTTTTGTTTTCCAACTATCATTTTCAAAACAGTGAGAAGCCTATTTTAATGTACCTAGATGTGCAACTTACTCGTGTTCCTCCAACAGGTCTAGTTATAGATCTCAAGTTTGGTGCAGACAGCAAATAGATGATGACCGCTTGAGAACCATTTCTTATTTCACACATAAACTGTAAACTTAAAGTTTAATGAGGTATCTCTGTTATATTGCATCATGCATACCATAGTTTGATGTGACAAAGCACAATACAACATGATTTCAGCCATTTAACCCAATTTGATGTACAGTGACGTTCCATAAATATAGGTGCTGTTTATAGGCAGTTCACATTCTGAAGACACTGCTGTAGCTGTAGCCTTTCAAGTTCTTTGCAGATAATTCATTGGCTTGTCAGAGCCAAGCTAACTGGTCTACTTGGTCATCTTGACTGTTCACATTTTAAAGAACATAGCAGTTTTTGGGTAACCCTTTTTGGCAACTTTTCTGATTCATTTTCCCGTGCTAGGTATTATATGATGCCTGTGCATTCCTTGAGAAGAACAGAGACACTCTTCCTGCTG